CCTAGATGGAGTTTCTGATCACAGAGCAACCTACCCTGAACAGCTAAAAACATTTAGGAGGGTCACCCATCCCAGATAAGGTACAGCAGAAACTCAGAATCCCTTTCCAGAACCTCAAATCAGTGTCTCAAACAACTCATGGGTTATTTTATGGTGAGAGGCTTTCTTGCTGCATGTACACACACACCCACACCCAAAATCTTTAATTCACCCCAATGGAAAAAGAACAAATAAAATTATTTTTATTTTAATAGAAACTTAAAAGGGAGAAAAAGGAAAAACAATGTTCCATCCATCTCTAGTAATGAGTCTTTAGTGCTTATACCTTAAAATCAGGGGTGGTCAACTTGTGACAGAGGCATCACAAGTGACACAGGCAGCCTCAGTGTATGGCACTTAGCAGAGGGGACAGGACAGATAGCACAGAGGCTGATAGGGCAGGAAGCAGAAAGCAAAGCAGCAAATTGGGCAGGGAGAACATAGAAGGAAACAGGAAGTAGAGCAGCAGTTCAGGCAAAGGAGGGGATTGGAGTGGCATTCAGGGAGAGTGCAGGGCTAATTTGTGGCAGACCCACCAAAAAGATTGGTCCCTACTTTCTTAAACTGTCTCTAATTCTAACTGGTTAATTTTAAAAATATAAATAAATAAATAAATAAATAAATAAGACTGTACCTTAGCAGCATTCTTTGTGTTGGTGCAATAGTTATTTCAATTATGTTTTTAGCAGTTGCCACATCTTTTGTTATAGTGCAAACTGTTTAGTGGAAGTAAAGATATGTTGAGTCTGTCTTTTATTCATGGCATTATCACAACACAGGTAGTTGTAATGGATTCTTACTATTCTGACACTGTTGCATGTTGATGCTTCAATTTTCTTGCAGTGCTTCTGCCTCTATCTGATTAGCATTAGTTTGGAAGATGTAGACCACTCCTTAGAAAGTTTCTTTCTTTCCAATATTACAATATGAATAAAATAAAATGTTTCTTTCCCAGAACCTAGATAAACTTCTTCCTTGGTACAAAAAGGAAGAGATGAATGAGATTTCCTGTCACAAGCACTGACCCGGGTTCCCCTTTGCTAGGGTAACTCATATATAGGGTGACCGTATTGTCTTTATGGAAATCCAGGACACTGGCCCCCACCCAGTCAGCAGTGCTGTTGCAGGCAGAGGCTAGCAGGCAGGGACAGTGTGTGGCATGGAGGCAAACCA